AATTTGGGTGTACAAACTGACATGTAACTAACTGGCCTGCATAAGATAACAAAAAATAAATAAATAAATAAAACAAATGGTTTTTTTTAAAATAGAAATTTTCTAAAAGTTGGAACAATATCGTCTGATAAAAAGTACATTGATATACATGTTTAAGCCAGAATGATTTGACATTTAATTATGATTTCCCTACAACTTTAAGGATTAGATTCGGAACTGCAAAAATACTGATATAGAATCCTCAGTTGCTGTGTCAAATTAGGAGTTTTACACAATGAAAACAAAACAACAAACCCCACAAAATAAATAAAAAAATAAAATAAAAACTATCTGACCTATTTAGAGCATCTGCAAGAAGAAAACCTTTTCATAAAAAAAAAAAAGAAATTAGCATGTTTTAGTTTTGCCACACTGAGGCATAAGACTGGATCTTCTGGATTAACTACAGACCTGTAGAATTGTTTTACCACCTTATTACACTGCAAAGAAATGCAAATGAATCAGAAATAATCACTTTCAACATAGTTGAAAAGCTTTGCCCCAAAAAACAAACAAAAAATAAATAAACAAAAAATTAATAAACCTTGCTGTTAAAAATCACTCCACTGTCTATTTTGCAGATTGATCCGTTTATTACTGTGTAGATCAAATCTTTTAAGTGATTAATCAAATCATAAAACACTTAAAGCAGAAGGATGGTGCAAGTGCTCCATTCTGCCACAAGATGTCCCTCTAGTTTCAATGTCGGGCCACAGCAGTTTACATTGGAAAGTCAATCATTGAACCAAATTTAATAAATACACAACCAAAATAAAAGCTTCAAACTTTATTAAACTCATGAACAAACACTTTTAACTAAAAATGTGCATTCTACATTAGAAAACCCCAAAACAGGCACTAAAACACAAACATTTGCCCATAAGACAAAGGAGTAGGGTAGTGAGGCACTTTGTTACAAATATTTTTTACATTGTTTACATTCATAATTAACATTTGTTGAATGACGCCCTAGAAAATTAAGGGATTGTAACAAAGTAGTGACTCTAATTCAGTTTTATACTCAAATATCTCCCTTTATCTGTCAGGTAGAGCTGTTTGCATCCAGAACAAATACCACCAAAGGATGAAAGGCTTGTTAAAACAACAGAATGGTCCATGTGTTTTTATCAATAAATTATAGACTTTGTTTATTTATGAATGAAAATGCATGGATCCTTCCTCTGTTTTTAAAAATACTTCATAAATTTGGTTAGATACACATAATTTTTACTTTGTATTAAAAGTGACACAGGAATAATAATCATATTCCTGATCATTTAAAATGATCTAGTAGATTTAACGTGGTAAGATCAAAATACAGTAGACTCCCCAATGTTAATGGTAAAAAAAAAGGTTTTTCTTTTGTTGTTCTGTAAATTGTAATAAAACAGCTATACCTGTATAATAACACAGCAAGAAGTATTACAACCACAATCAATCATCAAATGGAAGAGCAGCTTATATCGATTTAGATACAATGTTTTGGGTCATTATTTTAATAGGATTTACACAGTTTAAAGAGAGCGAGATTCACACCCTTCAATAAAATGTTCACTGTTCTTTAGCAGAACATAATTGTATCATTAAGGGCAGAAAGAAGTGGGGTCAAAATGTTTCATAACCGATGGTATAAAGAAAGCACTATGAAAAAAAAACAAACATCTTACACATCTGACACCATTAATTCAAGCTGTTTTTACAGCTGAAAATCTTTTAAAAGGTCTTTTTTCCATTAAATATACTTCATATAAAGGGACACATCTCAGAATTGCAAGCTTTTAATCGGAGAAAAATGTATGACGGAGTTTCTGGCACAAACATTTGGTATTACCTCAAATTTTCATGCACTGATATTTTTATCATTTGAGTCTGAACTTTAACATTGCCTTTATGGAATCTATTCTAAGTTGACAACAAAACTGCTCGGAACAATACTAATGGTCAAACAACTCATACAAAACAGCATCAGTAAAGAGATTGAACTCATGTCACAAACAGGAGGAGCCAAAATATGACCATTACTTATACATTAGGTCTGCATTCAAAACAGGACTCTTAATAATAACACAAAGTATGCCTCCCCTTGCTGTTGTGTACAAACAGCTGCAGTTTTTGAAGTCTTTGCCAATTTGTAGAAATGCACATTCCAGATGTGAAAAATAAAAGTATAATCTCAACATTTACCAACCAACAAAGAGGCTGATAATGGAGCGCATGGATGATTGGAAGAGGATGAAGGTAGGCTTCGTTTCTACACATTTGTCCGACACTTTGGGAAGATGGGTCCTCCCTCAAGCCTTCTCTTTCTTACTGTTGATCGAAATGACAATTCAGAATTACTAAGACAAGTAAAGCATAAGATGAACAAGAATTTTACCTCATAATAAGACACACAAGGGGCAACCATGTAAAAGGTGCTCTGATCCAATGACACCAAATGTCAATGTTCATTCCAAGAAAATGTTGAAACTGATCAGCGCATCTTACCCCAAATAAACTGGTGGTGGCAGGATCATGCTGAAGGAATGATTGTTTTTCAGCAAGAAACAAAGCATGCAAAAGCATCAAGATAAATTGTAGATTTAAAGCACCTATATTTTAAACTTTCTTTTCTTCACAGCACAGAAGTACCAGAAAAACAAAGTCCTTAAAGGAGCAATAAGCAAAATTCTGTCACTCTACAGTGTTGAACACTGTAGAGCAAGAAAAGATACTTGACAGGGCTCATCTCTCTGATCTTTCTCCAGATTTTTATTTTTATTTACAATATGATATCTATTATTTCCTTAATCTCAACATTTGATGTGCAATAAAAGATAAAACACATTTAAGTTGCTGTCTGTGTAAGGACTTAGGGTAACTCGATAGATTACACAAAGCAGAGACAACTACCGAGTTAGCTGGGCTACCAAACACTCATCTCACATAACAGTAATAAAGGGTCCATTGCTGGTTTAACTAATGCCACAACTGTAGCATTGCATTAAACTGAATCAACAAGGCAACACAGCTCTGCAAAGCAAACAACAAAAACAAGCATTTGACTTCATGCTTTAACCAGTCTAGGAGGAGAAAAGCTAGCTCAGAGTCCAACTGGAGCTGCTTCTGCTCTTCATCTTAGAAATGCAAGGCCCATGTTCATCCTTCTTGTTTTCCTTTCCTTATCTGACAACTTGTGTTTTTAAGGAAAGTGCATCCTGATTGTCTTCTGTAGAATACTTTGGTCTCATGGTTGCACTGTTTGCCATTTTGCTCCTATGCTATGCTGGTGGTGGCATTAATGGAGAGGAAGTCCTGAGTGGTTGCTGTTCACATGCACATAAATACACATGCAAACACATACACTGCTGCGCGACCGGCCCGGCTCTGAAATCAAGAGACTGGAGAACAAAAAGAAAAATGGTTTTGTGATGTCTTTCCATAGTCCATGTGAAATTATACCTTTAGTTCATTACAAAACTATTTTTTTAATGAAAGTTTGCTTATTGCTCCCTTAAATGAAATAAAAGACTACCTGAACAAGGCAAAAGCAAAACAGAGAACCAAAGATGTTGACTCCAAAGACTTCCAAAATATTTAGTGCATTATTTCTCGCTGAGTACAAAGGAAAAAAATCAGAGGTAGCAGAGACTGGGATCATAGAGCATTCAAAGAACACTAGCCCCAGCTGGGCTTTTCACTCACAGACTCCACAGAGAACGCCTGGATGTGCTAATCTCATTTCAACCATTGACACACCTAAGCCTTTCAAAACAGGAATCGAAAGAGGTTTCAGATCTGGCAAAAGACTCTCCTGCTAAAAAACTTGGGCTTTTAACAAATCTGATGACTTCATGTGTTTACTGCTGTGTAGAGCAATCTAACAAGTGCAAGTAATTTCTATTGTTTGTGCATTTGTGGCAAGGTGAAGTTTAAAGTCCTGACGTAGTATAATGATGGCATAGAGCAATGGATTCCATCTGAAGCTGGTAACTATACATATTACAACATGTATAGTTAATGTTAATACACTGTATGTTTTATATGTGTTTTTGGTAAAAAGGCACCTTGGACATTCGATTTAAAAATGTTATCATCAGACCTTTATTGTTTTTTTTTTGTCATTCGGGTGAAGAGAGAGGTGCTCATCACCTGTCAGTGTGTTGGAAGTGACAGGGGAAAATATAACCCCTGTATGTGAAGTGCCAAAACAAGGTTGGGATTCTAAAAATGAGAACAATTAAAGGATTACGGTATTATGGGGGACAGAGGTTGCTTAAGGGCCATCTAGTCCTTGTATAACAAAAGAGCTGTGTGCACCCTCAGCACAAAGTCAACTTTGGGTCTAAGTGTACATCAGCGTGCTACCTGTCCTACATGATCTCTAGACATGGTTACAGAGAGGAGAATGTTTGATTTTGACACCTTGAGGTCTGTTGGCATCTTCAATCATGAACTATATCCACTGGAGGGATTCATAGCTGAGTTAGAAGTAATTTAGCTGATGGTCAGCTCATCTGGTCTGAGTCTTGGTTTTGATTAAAACATAGAGGTTTGCTCCCTCTGAATCAAGAAAAAAACTGCCACAGCCAATAACTTCAAGTACCTTTTGGTGTCTTTTTTAGCTTGCATGGTGGAAACAACAGGGAAATGGAAGGATAGACTGGGCCCTGCAAGAAAATTTCTGACCATGCTGTGATTTTAGATTCACTGTTAGAGATGGGCACAAACTCCATTATCCGGTATGAGTTTTGAGCAGAGCACCTGATTTTGTACCTAAGAGGAAGTCAAAAGTGGTTTGTGGTTTAAAGTGCCCTGTAAATTCCACCCTTTAAAGCAAAAGGGACCACATTCATCCCTTCTGGCCAGGAAACTCATTTGGATAGATGGGAATGGATCTGGAGATTGCACCCAAGGAAAGGGATGCTTCATATACTGTAAGTGAAGGATGGATGGATTTCTAGCGCTCACCTCTAGAGCTAATGTAGCAGCGAGAAATCTATACAATATCTTTAAATATCTGAAGGCAATTCCAGCTTTGGGAGACTTAGTGTAGCTTTTAAATTGCTAAAGCATAAAATGGAACTGGACAAACTGAAAGAAATGAAAACTCTTAACAAGATCAGAAGAGATACTTCATAGGAGATGTAAATGAAAAAGAAATTTGCTATAGAAAAGTTATGTAAAAGGTAAGAAGATTGTGTACTGCATCATCAAGAGGAAATGTTCTTCAGCAGTGAAAGCCAGAAACAACTGGTTCAATTAAAATGATAGAATCTATGGAAGGTGCTGCAGAAAAGAGTCAGAAATGCCCAGAAGAAGGACAGCAGTTGGCAGAGTAACAGGCTGCATAGACAAGGACAAAGAGTTGCTGTCAAAGGAAGTGAAAGCTAGACGATCAACCAGACAGGTGAGGTTTCTGTTTTACTTAGTCTTGGACTTGAACTTTTTTCCAAAGGCTCTTTCCAGCTCAGGTACCGACAGAGTGAAGGTGATGGAGCCGTCTGATTCTGACCTGACGGCCCGGGCTTTACGAGGATGTGATAAATGAAAAATATAGTTAATCATGACAGATATAAATGCATGTTCTAAACACAAAATGAACAGGTTATAAAATCAATGTCCTTAAAGTCTACTCAATGAACCATAACTACAAACCCAACAAGTGATTTTGTTCACTAATATGATAAGTACAACTCAAACTAATCACATATAGTTGGCCATGAAACGATTTTAACATCTGCAGAGCAGGAAACCCCTTCATTGTTTTTTTTTTCACATTATGTTCTCTTCTATGTCTTTTCTTAGTTCTTATGTCACAACTTAGGAAGTTAGTGTTTTCATTGGCTGCTCAGCCTGAGTTACCAACTGATGATATCACTGCAGTTCCCTTATTGGACAGTGATTGAAGTTGGTTTCCAGCCGATAGAGTGAAGATAAGGTGTCAACAGCACTGACATACACATCAGCTAACACTGCCAAACACAATACCGCTGAGAGATTGTACCGTTACATAAACAATCCAAGGCATTAAGCATTTTCCAGATGCAGAGTATGCTTTAAAAGTTTTATTTTTAAGCATGCACTGCACCATTGCATTTTGCAAAATGAAGTGATGTATCCTACATGCAGAAGTGTGTTTTTAAAACCCACCCAAGTCATTGTTGTTCATCATGGCGTTGGAGCCTCGCAGACGCGGGCCCTGTTGGGTAAAATGATAGCCAAACTTTAACAGGGTGGTATTTTTCTCAAGAATGCTGACTATCTCCATCTCCACTTTGTTTCCAAGCGGCTGGCTCTGGATTTGGACAGAGTTAGGAGGTGGGGTCAATGCAAAGAGAGAGAAGAAGTTAATAAATTAGTTAGGCCCTCTTTAAATAATTTCTTGAAAAGCCTCGATGGCTGCAAAGGGTAACTTTCATCTCCATCAATCCTTATAAAGAACTTTAAATAATGCATATGGAGAGAGTGCAAATACAAAGTAATTAAAAGTGAATCATTGATGAATAACTATGCAGTATGAGACATCACTATGTAATCTAAAAGGCATTAGGCTAAAGAAGCATAGATGGCTTGTGTATTGTTAGTCTGCACACAGCTAGTGGTTTGTGAGAGTCGACTGGTACCTGGTTGTCGATTTTAAGCTCCAGTAGTGTGGTGTTATTCTGCAGTGACTCAATGAGGGCCAGGATTCCAGTCCCAGTTATGAAGTTTGACTCAACATTCAAACTCTTCAGGGTCGTGTTCACCCTCAGCATCTCTGCCAGTGCCTGAGGCGAAACAGGAAAAGACATTCCAGCTCAGAAATTAAGAATTGAATATTAAGAAATGTTACTGAACTCCATTAAGGTGGTATACTTAGAGGCGTACAAATGCAACGGGGTTATTACTCCTTGTTCCAACAATACTGAACCTCTCCACCACAGTGTTCTTCATCAGGGCTTCAGCATAAGCTTTCAGTGTTGGGATGGGGATATTCTGGGCAGTGAGGAAAAACAGTAGTTAAAGAGCAATTTGTTGTATTTTGGAGCAGGAAAGATCTAAACACTGGAAAAAGTTTTAAACATGATAGATTTACACCAGGCCTATTCATTGGTTTTCAAAGCAGATCATTGTGAAACAAGTATTTCTGACATAAATTGACTTCAGAGTCTCACCCCCTCTAAAATAGAAATGTACTATTTTAGTGGTAATTTAATTTATCCATACCATAAACGAATGATGACCTGTCATCTAAAACCATAGAGAGCGATGACCAAACTAGTGTTTTCTCAGGAGAAAACCTTTCTAACAGCAACATGTTACACTTAAGAAGCACTTTCAGTTTCTATAACAATTCTGCTATACAAGAAATATGGCTGACCTTCAGCCAAAAGAATGACGCATTTTATATCAGAAGTAGAGCACATGTAGCCAGTACTCGAATTGAGGGGGGTTGGCATCCCCCTTCTTAAAAAAATCTTAAAAATCATTCCCCTTCTTAAATGACCATCCCGCCATACAATCCCCTGTGACATTTAATTACTGAATTTGTGAAATTTTACTATATCTTCACAATAATGGCAATAATATTGCCCGTTCAACATTTGGCGGGCTGTGGGCTTATGGGTAGCCTGAGCAAAATAAATAAAATCAAAGAAGTGGCCTACCATGACTATGAAGCTGATTACAGTGGGAAATTAGTTCCTAACTATGTAGGGGCGGTAATGATAAGGTGCCTTGGTCAAGGTATATGACCGGCGTACCTGACATGTAACAACCATACCATGCATATTGCTTTAGGTTAATAGACTATATTATTTAAGCTATGTGTGCGTCCCAAAAAAAATAAAAATTTCACCACTCCCCTTACTTTTTAAATTACTTTAAAAAGTACTTTACTTTACTTTACTTTTAATTATTTTAAATTACTTTTCAGCACCAAATGACTAGCCTCATGAGACCATCCTGATCTTGCGAGCTTTCAAGGTTTCACTCACAGATCAGTCTGGCTACTTTCCGTTAAAGAAAATTTGGAGCAGTTCACCAAACGAA